TTTAAAATCATTTTTATTTTGACATTGTTGTTGCTTGCACAATAGTATGGGCTATTTTCTGTAGTGTATACAGTAACGGTGATAAATTCAGTTCATATCACTACATTGTGTGTGTGTGCTCCGGGATTGGATTAATTATTCCTTGTTTCGTAAAATTTTGTAAACGGGATACTGAAAGTGGAAGAAAGGAGACAAGTCAAGTAAATTGTAGCTATGATACATTTTGTCAAAGATATAAATGAATATGAAAGAATCGTAATTTGTTTTTAATTCATCAGTATTTCCTGCTGAGACATAAAATGAAGTAGAACAAATTTTCATGGAAATTACATAAAATACTTTTAGATGAGGAAGGTGACCTAATATATTTTTCAACCGATGAAGAATTGCGCAGCGCACTTCTGACAGCCAGAAACAACCAACTTCGCATTCAAACGATTGGTAAGTTTTTTTTTCAAAATTCATTTTAAGATGTTCCTTAGTACACATTGCTTGTCGTTGGCTTTTTTTGTCACATATTATTCTTAACGGAACTATTACTGGAAAAATAAAACATTCATAAAACAGCAAACCAAGCTCATGGTTTCGGATTTCCATTGATTTTCGGGTTGCGAATATATTTTCAAATTTTATCACCGTATCAGTTAGTAATACAGTTTACTTTTTTTGTAAGCTGACTCATAATATGCTTATTATTTTCGTAGAAGATCTCTCGAAACGTGAAAAAGAAAAACCGGAGAGAGAGGCGAAGAAAGAAAATAAGAAAGTGGTATGTTTTACAATGTTTTATCTGAAACCAAACATGAGTTATTTGTAAATATTCTAGCAAAGAAAAGTCTCTTAACTTATTGGTTTATCATTCACTTTCCTCAAAAGGAGTTGAATCGAACTGTTGTGGAACGGTGGGGCACAAATGCTTGGGTTCAGAAACGACGATGAAAATTCTGAATGCTTTTGCGTTTTTGTTGTGAGTACATCATTGCAGAAACTGATTTAGGAGGACTGTGTTGAGAAGGATTAGATTCCATTGTATAAAGATAGCATAAAAGTGGAAATTAATACAAATTAGAGCTTAGTTAGGGAGGACTGGGAATAACCAAAGAGAGGAAGCACATTGTTGGTTCTACCCAGCTTATTGCCTTTTGCAGAAAGAAATCCATCCGTTTGTTACATGCAATCGCTGTGATCAGCCGCTTTATGGAATTCGTTATAAATGTTGTGTTTGTGATGACTTCGATCTATGTGAAGAATGTGAGAAAGATGGAACACATCCAGATCATGCTTTGATTCGTTATGCGACACCAAGAACACCGGTAAGTTACATTGTTTTGACATAGATTTTTTGAATGAAGTTATTAAATGAAATGCAGGAACTTAATCTAATGAATCAGACAGCAGAGAATGCGAGTCGATTTTCTTTCAAGAAGTTTGAAATGAATGAAGTGGGGTGGGTGTGTTCTGGAATCAGATGAATTTCGTTCTGTATTAAAAGATCATAATGTTCTCATCGTATCATCTGGGTTATTGTGAAATTGTATATTTCATGGGGAGGCAGTGACTCAGATTTTTGCGGTAAAAGAGTTAGGAAATATTACTGAATAAAATTACTTGATTATATAATAATTTCTTTTGCAGAAAGTTGAGCATCTACGTCCGAGACGCTCCTGGCGACAACATAGCCATGCTTTTGGTCATCGTGATCCGTTATTGCAGGAAGGTATTTTTGGACGAACTGCTGCGGCTGCTGCTCAAGCTGCCCAAAATGCAGCTAGTGCTGCAGCACAACATGCAGCCAAACATGCTGTGAGACATGCTGCAGCAGCTGCTGTACATTTGGCCGAAGTAGTTTTTTTTTTGTGATTAATAAATGAAAGTTAAGCGCATCCTGTAGGAAAATTGATTATACTGACTTATATAATCTATAAGTGACGACATCGCCATTTATACGAGGTGATTCTACTACAAATACACTTCTTGGCGTGATTGGTAGGCGCATTTTTTTAAAACCAGGTTCATAATTGTTTTCTCACATTTTTAAGAATACCAAAGAGAATAGTGATGGGCTTCCACCACAATTTCGAGAATCTGTGGCCCAAGGCATGGAATATCTGAAAGAAGTTGGCTCACAGATTCAACAAGCACTTGCAAATTTTGGTATTATTTTTGTATTCCCTCTGCTTCGTGAAGTAAATATTCCCCTGTGCTTCATAAAGTAAAATTAAATATGAGAAATAATACAATTATTTCTTTGTTTGAAGTCCAACTTTTTTGAAAATTCATAATTTTCTATTTTCTTTATGGTGGTGGAAAATTGGGAATACTTCACAATATTGATTAGTTTATAACTTTTCTTACGAACAAAAAATGAATGTACAACTAGTAATGCAAATTTGGTACAATAGTGATATGGAATGTGAGTTTTATCGGCTAACAGTGTGCAGGATTTGGTCAAAAGTTTTTGAATATTGCTGATATCGTTGATAGTGTTCGTGATATGTAAAAATAAGCTGATGATTTCAGGAATCGAAGTTGATATGGCTGTGCAGCATGATGGTGTTTCAGAGAAAATCCCCAAAACACAGGGCCCTGCACCGGGGGACGCAGCGGAAAATAATACAGCTAATAATGAGACGGAAAATGCACAAAAGAAAGATGAAAAAAATGTTTCGAAGACTGGTGAATCGGAAAATGAGGATGGAAAACGGAAAAATGATGGTCCAACAGCTCAGAATGATGAGGTTGGCCGGTTAAAGTGTGGTTTTTGATTTTATTTTCGAAATTTGGTTCTTTTTCTGAGCATGAAATGAAAGATGACTTTATTTTGAGTTGCTTCCACGATACCTGTGTTAGTGTTATTTTTCCATGATAGTTTTTATTTCAGTTGGTACGAATATAATATTTTCAAATCCTTTGTGTTTTGTTTCTAGATCCCAGATGAATTAGATGTGCCCATGAAGAAGATACATATCTCGGAGCATAATGAGACGGAAAAAATGGAACAGAATTCGAAAGAAACGATGCTTAATGCTGTTGGTTCAGGCGATGATATTTCAGATGAATGGACAATGATGGACATCAGCAGTCCAGGCAACAAATGTAATCAAGTTTTTTTTTCTCCACTATTTATGTTATATTACTGAGTCCCCGAACGCAACACCAATCATTATTTTCATAGAAATGTGTAAAGCGTTCAGTAATTTAAAATTTGTCTATTTAAGTAACCTTCAAAGGAGTGCAATTCACATGCTGTGCTGAGTCGTTCTTAAATGTAAGGAACCATGCATACATTGGTTCTGCATACGGCATGCATTAACAATATGTTGTTTTTCACGATTTTCTTAGATGTGCAGAATATGCATATTCATGTGTTTTAGCATGTGTTTCAGGTGCATCGCTCTATCCTATTATTGATGGTGGAAAATGTATGGCTGGTACGCCGTTTATAGTCCCACAATCTGGACCACACAATCCACATTGTTATTTCATTTACCCAGGTCACTTCTTTCATTCATTTATCTAATGATCGTTAGAGAGGTAATTCATAATCATAGTTTAACTAGCGGTTATTTAATATATAATCTTTTGAAATTAATATCATATCACAGTTTTTCTCACAGTAAAAATTAGCAAAATTGCAGATGAACATATTGCACTTTGTGTTATACAACTGGAAGGAATGGGTTTCGATAATTGTAATGGTTGGCTGACCAAACTTGCAGCGGACCTGAAAGGTGACGTTAGTGCCGTCATTGAGGATATGAAAAAGGATCCTGTTTATGCGAAACATTTCGAAAACGAACCTGAAAGTACTTCACACTGAGAAATAATGTATCTTACTACACTTATGTATTTCTTGGTTTGTAAAACACATTATTTTCATTTGTATATTTTTTAGACCTTTTCGTCCTGTCTTTGTATTTTCACATCAGTCCCAGACTGTTTCTCATATATTTTTTTGATTCATTGATTTTTACTGAAGTTGATTTCAATTGGCTATGCTTCTCGCATATCCGTCAATAATACCCGGATTTATTTTCATCTAAATATTAATTAATGAAATATATCTCTCCTCTCTCTCTCTCTCTCTCTTTCATACCATATATGATTACGTCCTTTTCTTAAGGTATATTCTTTCTTTGCTGTGAATAAATGCTTTATAGAAATGAACTGCACTTTCAGCACATTACTTTCAAGACTTTCAGTATAATTAGGTTGAAATATCGTCAGTAAATTCACAGTTCTGAAATTGAAATTGGTAGCGCTGCGTGCTTGTTTATGATATGTGTCAGGCTTAGCTGCTTCAACAGAAGATTCAAAAAATTAGGTTGGTAGATCAGAAGAAAGGAATTCACGATGGATTTAAAAAATGTGTAATTCAGTACAACTAGGAAATTGGGTATACGCACTGACACGTTTATGTTATACCGTCATTATTGAATGACTTCTGTATTGTACTTTCGTTATCAGTTTGTAGTTTACAAGTAGTTCACTATCTTACATATGTATAGATATATAAGCAATCAAGTTAATACTTTTCAATGGCCAATGTGTTGCTTGCCTATGGGTGCTTAATACTGCTTTCTAGGTTTGTCCATGTATAGGGAACATGGTCCTTTCCTATTGTAATAGCCTAATCCATGGACAAATTATTTTGAAATGATTGTAACATTTCCTTATCTATTCAGTCTTTCTTCAGGGGACAGCATGACCAATAAAAATGAGGAAGTGGGAAATGATCTAAAACACACCGGGACCGTATTAAAATTGTTCTTCGGATTTGTGTTTCCTCGGTGTGAACTTTGATTGGTTTCTTTGAGATTGTTTTGGTTCACTTCTGTCTTTTTTGATTCTCCTAAAAGCACATTATTATAAGTAATTTAAGTAATAGAACGAGAAAGGTCATCGGGAGAATCACGTGTAAAGCTCAGCGTTCTTCATTAAAGAATAGTTCTTTTCCAGGCATTGTTTTGATTCTTCTTCTGACTATTTCATCCTCTTGAATGGGTGCACTTCTGGCAACACCCGTGTATATCTCATCGGTTCGTTTCATTTTATTTTTGAAATAAAATCATTTAGATAGTATAGTTATCTTTCCACTCACTTATTTACTAAGTATTAAATGGTATGCTCCAGTGATCATTATTGCTATTTGTTGAAATATTGACTTATACATTATATTGAAATATAATATATAATTAGGAATAATAAAAATGATAAGTTCAAAAAAATTTGAAAAAAATTTTTCGTCAGTCATTTTTGCTTTACTAATGTCCTATTTTTAAAGTAAATGTTGGTATATTCGTTCCATTATTAATAAATTGTCTATTATTCATTCGGTGGTGACGCCCTAGATAGATTGCTGCAGTGTTGTACCCACCGTCTGATACTGAATTCACGTGCTGATATTCAGAATACTATTTTTTGTCTTTTCAGTTAGGATGCTGCTGCGGTAGTGCGGCATGCTCTTTATGCTGTTCAGCATGTCCAACTACCCGAAGCTCATTGACTACCAGAGTAATGTATGCTGGAATGTTGTTGATTAGTACATTCATGGCTTGTCTAATGCTTGCACCTGGTATACAAGCTAAACTTGCTGATGTAAGTTAATTGCATTTAAATTTCCCATTTCTTCTGGATTGAATTGCTGTTCCTATCTTCTGTTTAGTTCCCATAAAGATATTAAACAAATGAGAGCTGTTTTCAATTTTCTACTATTTTAATGTTTTTTAATTTTAGTCAAATTGGTTTTGTGAGGGTCTCTCTGGAATTGCTGGAATAAACTGTTCCCATGCTGTTGGTTTTCAAGCTGTTTACAGGTATAAATTTTGAGCTTGGATTTTTCAAATGGTATTTGGTGTGTCAGAAATTGAGACTAGAGTAGTATGAGAAGAATATAATATTCGGGATCATAAATTTAGTTCCAATAAAGGCATTGGACATTTGCCTTATTTGTAGACTTTGCGGAGCAGTGGTTATTTTCTTCTTCTCGCTAATGATTTTGATGTTGGGGGTGAAATCATCTCGTGACCCACGGTCGAAAATTCAAAACAGCTTTTGGTTCTTCAAATATGTGATCGTTATTGGGATCACTGTCGGATTATTTTATGTCAATTCAGAAAACATTTCTGCACGTTCGTTTTTTTTTTCTTTCTTATTTCTTTCTTAATCTATCTTATTTCTTTTTTCATTACTAATTTTTCTTTTGACCATCATAGAAGGAACTCAAAGTTTGTGATATTTAAATATACCGATTCTTCTCTAGTTGCAAAAATGATAGGATATTTTTTCAGCTTTAATGTGGACTGGGTTGATCGGTGGCTTTATTTTCATTCTTCTACAGCTTATATTGATAGTCGATTTTGCTCATTCGCTCGCTGAAGGATGGATGGAAAAGTATGAAGAGAATGAAAGTCGCACATGTTATTGTGGTAACTTTAACTTGCTTGCGAAATGTTCTTGAAATAATATTCATTTTCATAAGTTGCCTTTTTGTAGTGTCTTATTTCGTATCTTCATTTGCGCTCCGCATATTTATTCAAATCGGGTGAACCATAAGACCCTAAATAATGAATGATTACCAAAGATATGACCCAAGTATGATTGGATATAAAAGATAAAAGACGATTGAATTTTAAGATATTATTAAGGTTAGAACGATTACAAGTTTTCTCGATTTATAAAAAATTTGAAAAGCTGAAAATAACTAGTTATACTTTATTTTATTAATTATCATTATGGATGTCATGTTGAATGGTATTGCCACAGCAGCATCCAAAAATTTTCCCTTGTTAAATGACTTTTTTTAAATTAACATTGCAGGATTGTTGACATTCACTGTTATGTCATATATATTAGCCTTCTTTGCTGTCGCGCTGATGTACATGTTTTACACTGCAGTAAGTTTTGGATAACAAATTTCATTTACATCTGTAAATTTTTTTTTGACCGAAAGGATTATCAATTGCACGCCTTTCTTTGGAACAGTTTATTGTAAAAGTATTTGTTAGGAAGATATGAATCTTTTGCAGGGAAATTCATGTCATATGCCAAAGTTATTTATTTCCCTCAATGTCATTCTCTGTGTACTAGTTTCTGTCTTGTCGATCCTTCCACGTATACAGGAACAAATGCCTCGATCAGGCTTGTTGCAGTCATCGTTCATTACTCTTTACGTAATGTACATCACATGGTCAGCACTAATCAATAATCCAGGTCAGCATTTGTTTTCGATACAATCAAGGAATTGCCTCCTAATTTTTAAAAAAAAATTATTGAAAAACCGGTATGATTTTTCAGATAAAGAATGTAATCCATCGTTAATTAACATTTTTGCCAACCACACAACCCAACATGGCCAGGTACCTTTAGTTTTAAAATTCACTAATTTAGGATGCTTTTTTTTTTCATTCTATAAAAAACTTCTTAATCATTTGCTGAATATTTGGAAAACCATTGTTAATGTTAACATATTCTATGTACTGCAGGATGTTTATGGAACACCAATACCAGCTGAATCTCTAGTTTCCCTTCTTATTTGGTTCATTTGTATACTCTATGCATCATTTCGGACCTCATCGAGTTTCAATAAAATTGCAGGCGGTTCATCACCTCTAACAGTAGATGATGCAGATAACGGTTCTCAGCAACGTATTATCACATCCACCGAAGGTCCATAACACTTCACCCTATCATGATAATTCTTTATATTCATGAATAAAAAACCCAACAGTTTGTTAATTTTTTAGAAATGATTCGTACAGGATGTACTTTGCTGGGAATTTTCAAAACCTAGAATTCGTGATAGAGTGAAGTTGCAATGGACTCTGCACATTTCCTCTCATATCTTTTTTATTATTTTTCCATTCAGATTGCCTCTGCTTTCTGTATGCATGTTGAACGAATTTTCTATAATTTTTTGCTTTAACAAATCCAAATTCCAGTGAATCTATGAAAACTTTCAAAGGAGAAACTATTAGGGTTAAAGAGAAAAACAGATAGTTGATTCTTGCTACTATTTTTAAAATTCAGGTCATTTTTGATCTCCGTGTTACCATTTCTCCAAATCAAGTCTTACGAAATAATTTTCAGTTATTTATTTATTAGATTAATTAATACTTTCATCTGCATGCGCAATTTAATTTTTCTACTTTAGTTAAAAAATATTTTGAAAATAAAATTTTCAGATAATCCCGAAAGCGGACGTGTTTGGGATGACGAATCAGATGCCGTTTCATATAGCTATTCATTTTTCCATTTTGTATTTGGGCTGTCTTCATTGTATGTAATGATGACTCTCACATGTTGGTACAAGTAAGTTATTTCATGAGCATTCAAAGAATTTTTGGAAAAATCTACTGCTTTAGACACAAATAATCAATGCTTGTTAATTTAAAAGTTAAATTTTCATATTTTTTTTAATTTTAAAATAGCAAATGGCTAAAAATTTTTTATAGGTGGGAAAAAATAGATTCAAAATTAGTGAATTTTAAAATTTAAGACCGGATAGTGATTTGCGTCATCTAAACAGCAACATGGCAGCAGTATGGGTGAAAATTGTATCTTCTTGGCTTTGCCTCGCAATTTATGCGTGGACACTTGCAGCACCAGCAATTTTTCCAGATCGTGACTTTTCCTGAAGTGAAAAAACTGATTCCACTCTCGAGACTGAAGTAGATTTTGGAATTTCATTCCACAGATTAAGATTTTGTACATAATTTCATATTTTTATTTTGCTTTGATTATTTTTACTGATCGAAAAATTTTTTCTTTCTCTCATAAGATATAATTTTTTTCAATGTTTTTGATTTAATCTGCAGTCAATCTTTGTATATTTTATCATGACATAACTGTTATGTATCTCTTGAATGATGGTCCATTATTCCTATCACACACGTTTGCTAGATTCTTTGTTTGTCAACTCTCATCTCTTCTCTCTCTTGTGATAGCATTCGTTATGAATTAAGAAAAAAAACCGGTCTTCATTTGAACCAACAACTGTAGAATCCTGAATTGATCAAACATACATCCGGTTTTTGACTGAGACGTAATCTTTCTTTATAAAATCATAAAATAGTATTCTATATTCCATAGCATTTGAATTTTGCATAACAATGGTTATTGTTACTTTTTCTCCATACATAATAAAACATTTATCCGCTCTTTTTATTTGTTGTGGTATTATGGTTCTCAGCCGAGAAATTTCTTGTTTTTTTGGTTTGAATGAGATAAGTTGCGGAAATGGCATAAGTGCAGCGATGATTCTTCAGTACCGTTAATTTTAGTCCTAAGTATCTTTAACTTTTTCTCATGCTTTGGGCAGGGATCTACGTTTAATCAAGTATTTACATGTGGTATGGAATGTCCAATTATTTGAATTTTTTCTGACTTCTTATTTATTTCTGGCGATGGGAAAACTATCTTGGATGATTACGTCATGATTTTGGAGTGTTTGCTATTTTAAAATTAGATTTCATTTTGGACTTGCAGATTTTATTGATAAGATATGCGTTATATGCTTTTTATACAAGAATTCGATTCGCTTTTAACGCTTCATAATTTCAGGTCTAAAAAATGAGTGCTGATTTATTATCGATGAAGCGATATGTCGGACCGGTAAGGGTTCGTGTGATACTGTTACTTTTATCAGATTATGTACAAATTTTTAAAGCATTTAGCACCCTTATCTCTTTAGCAAGTGTTTATTGACCTAAATGTAATGTAGAATTTGCCGTAGCTTATAATGATTTCAGTGGCAATGTCAAATCTAAACATTTAAAATTTTTTAGGTGAACCCTTCGTTGTATTCACAGTTAGCTGTATTGCTACTTGCAGTAGGCCTCTTTTTTATGGCTTGGTTCTTTGTTTATGAGGTTATTGCTTATTAAATTGTCTATTATATTTATCTCATTTTCTCTTTGTATGATTTTTTTCTCATTTGACGATTTCAGGAATGTATATTATGATACTTCGTCATATTTAATTATTAGTTTTAGGTAACTTCAACGAAGTTTACTCGAGTTTTACTCAAGGAACTGTTAATTTCATCAGTTGCGGCGCTTTTCCTTGGATTTGGTTCAGTTTTTCTCATGCTTTGGACAGGGATCTACGTTTAATTAAGTATTTACGTGTGGTATCGATTCTCCAATTATTTGAATTTTTTTTTGACACTTTTTTTTCATTATTTGTTTTTGGCGGTGTGGAAAACTATCTTGAATGGTTACGTCATTTTTGATTTTAGAAGTTTTGCTATATCAAAATCAGATTTCTTTCTAGACTTGCAGATTTTATAGATAATTTGCTTTTTTTTCATATACTTTTCTGGCTTGGTAGGGTTTGTTTATTTGAAATTAAAATTTATTTCTGACGATATGAAAAACTGTTTTCGATGGTTACGTCAATTTTGTCTTTAGAATTTTTATTTCAGAATCAGGTTTTTGGAATGAATGTTATAATTTGTTGCTTTTAATGCTGCAAAGAAGAATAGGCTTTTTTTATTTGTTGAATTAAATTTAAATTTGTTTATTATTTTTTATATTAACGACATTGCTATTACATAACAACGTATGTTTAAAATATAAACTGTTCAGCATTATCTTATAAATTAGACAACAGCAAAAGTAACATACAAATTTATACAATGGTTATTTGCATCTAGTTATCCCGAAAAGCATCAATTAATTTAGATGGCTTAAAATAATAAGTAATATCTTAGCGATATAAACTGCAGTCAAAGTTTCATTTATCCGTATATATCAATTTTCTGCTGGTTAAATTAATTCGTTTTAAAATTAGCGAATTGCATGATTCAACACGTCTTACTACAAAGTGCAGAAGGTGTACATCACACTTTTCAATTTCCAAATGTAGCTAATTTTACTGCTGAAACTATTTGGATAAAATCTATTTGTGTTTTGTACAAACACTCTGACATTTACCAATGCTCTCAAAACGATTTTCATTACCTCCACAACTCTGAGTGCCAAATGGATAACATTTTTCGGTGACTGAATCAAAGTAATAGCGCACTTGCAGTTTATTCCTGTCTACTGCGTCATCATTTGTTTCTTCGATTGAACATAATCCTGAGTCTACAACGGCTTATATTAAAGAAAGAAAGCAAAATCCTATGCATCAGTTGAAAATGATGAATAATTTGATAGGATAGTTTTACTACTCTTCTCACTTTAATCTTATCACATGTTAATAATAATATATAACTGAGGACTAAATTTAACTAGATTCCGATGAAAAATCCTCTTATCTACTACAAAATCTGTTTAACTCTAAACTATAGTTGATGAAAATACATAAAATAAATTACTAAATATTTCCTGTAAATTACTAAAATTTTAAATTATTAAATGTTCCATTTTGAGAATGATAAAAAAATAACAAACCTGGTGGGAGGTAACAAATGCATGGGTAATGTTGTACATCAGTGAATACTGGTGGATCTGGTGAATGGGCAGCATGGAGTAAATTATACAGGAATATGGGCAAAGTTAATATCGAAGAATATATCATGTCTAAAATACGTTGAATTTTCTTTTGAAGGTTATAGCACGAACTAAAGGAGAGGTATATACTTTTACTTAAATACAGTTAGGATTGTCCTTCAATATTAATCAAATGCAATTGAAATTGAGTTTTAACGAAAGCATAAAATTTATTTTGATCATAAGAAGTGTTGGAGTATTGACTGAAATATTCTAAACACGACATGTCAAAATGAGTAAACAAACAAATACACCCAAATAGTGAAATATAGTAAAGGATTACGAATCAACAAATTCAAATGCAGTTTGCAAAACAAGATTTATGAGAAGTTGAAATTGCTTTATCGTTGATCAGCTTCACCTGATATGATCGATCGATTTTAGAAGATGCAGAAGCAATAGAAATTAGCGATGTGATATTACTGCCATTTTATAACTAACAAAAATAGTGATGAAAACGAAATCTAAATTTAAAAATACCAGAAGTGGAGGTTAATATTTTTGATAGTATTCAGAAGACACATATCAATAGCTGTAGGATGAAATTTCAATTTTTTTTTTATTTCGAATAATTCTAAGATGATTTTCAATTCAAAAATTGTGTACGGAAATTATCCAGGATGAGTAAAATTATGTTAGTAAATATAGAAATGCGATACTCGAACTTGCACTTTCAATAAAAAGCATTTTTAAGAATGAACTGAAAATATACTGTTTATGAAGTTTAATAATAATTAATACTAATTATGAACTTTCATTAATTGCTAATGAAGTTGAAGATGAAAGAGATGAATAATACTTTGAGATTATTTCTCGCTGAAAAAGATATGTAAATTTAAAAGTGTTGAAATTTATTTTATAACCAAATCTTACTATTTTCAAATATCTTTCAGATAAAAATTATTAATTTGGAAGTAAATTCAAATAAAATTATTAGATTATTTACAGAAATATATTCGCAAGAGATGAGCAGAAAAAAATATTAGTTATAAACATGCATTGTCAACGATTTCGTGACGAGCAACCATTAATGATGACCTAAATATTCATTATTTTCGTCCTCACTTGCAAAACCTTCTTATTCCGAAAAGTGGCCAGTTTTGAGAATTTGAAATTTTCTTATCAATAAATGTGAAATTCTAAAACGTCTACTGAGTTATAGCAACAGAAAATTGGAATTTGTTAAAGAATAAAATTAAATTTCGAAGAGAATGGGAACGATTGGTTTTTGAGTTACATTGGATGGTCGATTTTCAATTCTGCTTAAATGTTTCATATCAATTTTTGTAGCTGCTTGATGAAGAAGAACAGTAACAAATGGACGGGTAACTGTCACCATAATTATCCATTGATAAAAATCATAAACATAATTTCAAAATGAAGTATATTCACAACTCCTTTCATCCAGCTAGCTTTTTTAGCATGAATTTGATAATGTTGATGATTATCGTAGTGAGGATAATAATAAAAAAAAGTAAATACGCACATATTACTTCTCTACATCAGTGTTATACTTTTTTTGACGAAATTTTAAAAAAAAATTGAAATAAAAAATGAAATGTTTTTCTTTTCATGAGTATAATTTAATAATTTCTTTTCTTTTTAAACAAAAAATATTCATGAAAAAGGAAAAAAAGCTTAGGATAAATCAGAAAAAGAAAGGCATAAAATGACGGATTAAAAGGAATTATGTTAAAATAAATTTCTACTATACAAAAGATGGAACAAACAGTCAGTCCATCGAATGAACAAGTTTTTGTTTTCTATTTCACTTCAAAAACTATTGTTACCTGTTGTAAAATAGGACAGCCGGGAACGATTATATATATATTCCATTTATAGTTTCATGCACGTTATGTGATATGCATGTCATATGCGAATCATGTAAAATTCCCAATAATTATCCTCAATTTGATAGAATGAATGAATATTTGTCTGATGAAGTCATCTGATTAATTGAATAGCAATGAATGAATAGTAAAAAAAAATGCATCTTGCATTTGTAGTTTTGCATTGATAATTTGTCAATAAGAAGTTTAAGAGAAACCTTATCAGGTCAACATTTATTATTGCACAAATCTATAGAAGGTTAAAGTTTTGGGATAGCATGTTCAGATTCCGAACTACTAATCAGTATTTAAAGCTAACCTCTTGACTTTGATATAAATTTGAGTGTCGTTATTGTCATCTATTTGATTATCTCTTAAGAAAAGTCAATTCCAATATAATAATTTTTTGGTATCTTCGGTGATCGGAGTTTTCCATGCCTAAAAGTGATGAATACTACGAAGGATCAGTCACTAATAAATAGTCGTTTGGTGCCACATACAATCTTACAATATGCGACAAATCTTTTTGATGAAATAACATCATTATGAATAAATAAATTGCATTAAATATTATGACTGTTTTAAGAATACATTTAATACGATCAAAACAAAATTCTCTTTCCAAAAAAAAATTTTATAATTTTTTAAACCTTCCAATAGCTGTTTTAAAGTGCTTGACAGCTTTAAATTTTAATTTCGGTATATTAAATTTTCCTATTTAATTGATAAAAATTTTTTAAATTTGATAAATTTCGCGCATACCATAGGTAATATGAGGATTTTTATCACATTTTTTACTTAAATTTATCACCTCAATAAATTTCAAAACTCAATTTCTGCTGTCTATTAGAGTTTCGTCCAGAAATTAAATCATGCAATCTGTATTTTACCATTTGTCAAATATGTTGTTTGCAAAAAAATTTAGAAAAAAAACCACTTTTTGTTGTTTGTTAAATAAATTAATAAAAAATTTGACTGAAACGAAAATAAGATTATGGAATATTACAAAAAGTTATTGGTAGGTTCATTTTTTTCTTTTATTAATGAATAATATAAATAGTTATAATTTTTGGGCTAATCCATCTTTTTGAACATTTTTTTTAATATTAGAATTTTGATGAAAGCATTTGGTTAAGGAATGATACATGAAATCGATCATGGCTCTTTTGTTTTTGCCTTAAGCCAGAAAAGTGCTTTTTGTTCCGCGTAACAAAATCAGCATTGATTTTTCTTTTTATTTTTACTCTTTTGCGATAATTGATATTGTACAGTAGGATAAAACGGTAGAAGAGAGAACAGAAAGTAATCAAACAAATGAGATGTATACGATGGCTAAAGTAATTAAGAGATAAGTGCTAATAGATAATTAAATAAACTGGTATTTTAACCCCAAAATTGCCAATTTTAATACATTTTTTATTCGCAACATTATGTAGTTTACTCATAAATTTATTAAAACAAAAATTTTTCCATCACATTAGCAAATTCATTGTTTGCTCAAAACAACATTTGATGAGTCATTGACATAATTTTTCAGTATTAAAAACTGAAACATATTATCAAATTTTGTAATTAAAATTTTTTTTTTAAATGAAGAAAGTCGATATCTTCTTAATTTCATTAACATAAGAATTTCTGTGATGTCATTGAAAAACGTCAATTCAAAGGTTGTCGTATAAAATGCTAATAGCTTTCTAATGGATAAATTTTCTATTCTGTAAAGATAAATGATCAAACCGAAATGTTACTACTAAAAATATCTGATGGTTACATTTCTAATATTGTTAGGACTTTTTAATTTTCCCAAAGTATTGACATTTGAATTTCATGTCCAATTGCTTGTTTAATCATTCAACGATAACGATTTTCAATTTTTCCAACAATCAGATATCGTTAACTTTAGGAGAATTTCAATTAAAAATTAATTGTCTTTCCATTCCCTTCCCTTTACATTATTATATTTATATTTTCCGTTTATTTTAACCCATCAGTTCATTTGTTGCATTAACGAATAACAGTAATCCTTTTAATTCTTTCTCTTACAAAAATTTCGCCACTAAAATTTCATACATGAAATCTTGAAATAGATATCTTAAAATTTGGGCTTGGTTGTAAATCCTTTTACATTTAGCGTCATCAATAAGTAGCAATCGTGAAAGCCTTAAAGATCTTCCTTTTTGTTTTCTCTAAAAGGCTCGCTACCAAACATATCGCTCTTCTCTTTTCGTTTCTTAATGATATACGCACAATCTGTGACACAAATATAAATTGCTTACGCTTTTCAGTTTTAATAAATGGCTCCACTCAGACGTTCAGCTGCCTTTCGACAAAGCGTCCGACAATTTCACAAATCAGTCCGGGCCGGGGTAAGTCATTCCTATCTCTCATCTAATAGTAAATCTGAGGATAGTGCTGTTTTCATTTGATATCATCAAATAAAGTTATATTTTTTATTTAAGCAGCAAAAGAGCAATATTTTAGGATAGGGAATTAGCAATTATAGGCTATGATAATGATCATTTCCTGAACCATCGGGGCTTTTCTCATTATTGAACAAAGAAATATTTTTAAAAATAAGAAAATTTTAATTGAAACAGAAAATTTAACATGTATGATAGTAAATTTCTTAATCCTTTGAGAAAAAAATATTTGCTTCATTTTTATTTGATTTTGGTTTAATTTTTTTTCATTGTAAAGCATATAAAATGGTTTTGTTTGTTTTTCATTTGTAAATGAAATTATTGAGATGGAAATTAAATAGTTTCGTTTCGTTAAAATCACAAGAATTTTTGATTTTAACAAAATATTGACTGTTCCAGAAAGGAATCATTTCTGTTTGCCAATTTATCAATATTTTGTGGGAATAATTAAATTTTACTAAGCTGTACTCAAATAAAATTTAATCTTACATCGAATTTAATCTTTTGATTACAACATGGGAAATATTGGGGTGGAAAAGATATTTTTTCAATAAAATTACATATTAATAAAGTTCGCAACTTTTTATAGACATTTGATTTACTTTTATATCGATCTATTCCTTAAATTATGCATCCAATAATTGATGAGAATTTTCTGCTAACTAAATTAACATTTGGTAAATATTCAAAGTGACAAATAAAACATTATCAATTGTTAAAATAATGGCTTAACAATCACATTTTAACAAAAAAAGATTATAATATGGTATTATCACACAAATCCATTTTCAACAAGCAGATTAGGTGGCATTTGAATTTTTTACTTAATTAATGTAAATAATTATCGATAGAAATGAGTGATAGTGAATTTTTCCTAGCAACGTGTGGTTTGAATAAAATGAAGGAAATTTTAATATTTGAAAATTTTGATTTTATATGACATTAAGGCAAAAAATGAAAATTATTTTATCTTTTTCTAATATTTTATTAAATTAGAACAAATAATTTTCCATGTTCTTCAATAAAACTTCAAATTTCACTTTATAAATTGTGTCTAATTTAATTTATTGACTCATTTAAAAAAAAAAGAAAAAATAGCTTCAAAAAAATTTTATAAAATATTTCTATTTTGTTACCACAATAAGGCAGCATATCAAATTTTTTTCCGCAATTTTCGAATTTACATTGCTGAGATGTAAAGTTAATGCAGAAAAAAAATAATATACAGTTTAGGCAAATACAGCAGCAAATATAATTCGCCAGGAAGCAGAAGCAAATATAAGATGTATACGTCATCCACCGCGATGGGTACGTGTTCTGAGGAAAATATATCATGAATACGGTCTCAAGCATGTTCTTCTAATCACTGTTCTTATCATTTACCAATTTATTGGTGCGGCGATATTTTATCTTTGCGAAGCAACTCACGACGAATCACTTGAAATATTTTGGGAAAAAAGCGTGCAACAAAATCGAACACGTTTGATAGATGTCGTCGTATCATCTATATTTAATAACAGCGAATATCTCTTCTTTCTCACTGCTAATCAAACTAAGCAGGTTTGAAATTAGAGAGAAGTTTCAAGTTCATTTATAAAATTGAGATGAAGGACAATTGCTGAATTCGTATTTGTAGTAGCTTATGCATTACTTAATTGAATCTGAAATTAAAACTTGACAAATAGATCAAATTGGTAGCAATTTGCCTGACTGTCGAAATTAAGATCAGAAGACGTCTTGATCACGAATTAAATTTATATGAAAATAACCTCGGAATTAAATATACAGACCAAAAAATTCGATGGGATTTCTGGAATGCTATGTTATACGCTCAGGTTTTTTTTTGAAATTTTGATTCTTCTTAATAAATTAATCTATTCGAAACATTTTTAGCTTGTTAGAAAAAGTTTTTAAATATTAATGGGTAATTTTTTTTCTAAATTTTTTTATCAGGAAACTGATTTGAAAAGATTCTCTGAACTTATAACATTCATAATATGATGAATGAATAAATAATCAAGAATACGGTTACTAAAAACCTTTATATTCAATTTTCAGACGGTATGCACAACTATTGGTTACGGACATCTCTATCCATCCACAACCACCGGCCGTATTTTTACAATGCTTTATGCGATTGTTGGCATTCCGCTAGTACTCAGTATACTTGACGATCTCGGTTCATTTTTTTTACTTAAAATTACCATATATTGTATGGACAATGTAGGAAGGGTGATTGGTGTTACTAAAAATTTCAATTAGAGTCGTATTATGTAAGTGAGTAACTTCGTCTTGAAACTATTCAACATAATTACTGTTATTGCTTACGGTAGGACCGTAAAACTATTCAACATTGTTATCATTGTTATTGCTTACAGTGGGATCATGAAACTATCAACAGTATTATTGTTATTGCTTAGATAGGGTCATGACACTACTCTACAGTATCATTATCATTGCTTACAATAGGAAATAAATGATATAAAATTTACTTTATTTCTGAGCTAATACACTGTTTAATTAGAAAAAGATATTCAGAAAATTTTTGAATATCAATTGCTATTTGCAACTCATTTCTTTCTTTTATTCCTTCTAAATCAAGCTTTTAATGCAGACTTATCGCTACTATAAAGCTATGAGGTTGCCATATTCCAAGTTATGCTAATCATTTAATCTTATTTAGTAATTAAACCTTGAACCAATTTGAAATAGTAATGTTTTGGCTCTGAAAATATTGGAACTTTGAGTGACCATTAATGTTTATAGTTGAATGTCACGAATTAATTTAGCTTCGTTGAGAATAATCTTAGATAATTTCTGAGCACTCTCAAAAGATTTTGTAATTATTTTTCAAAAGGCGAATAACAAAAAAAGAATTTTTTGGAAATAGATTAAACCACTTTTAACATTAATTTAAGAAAGGCTCCACTGAAAATCATCTTAAACAGTCTCAGTGCTGCCATATAATTGTAATTATTTTTCAGAGATAGAAGAATAAGAATAAAGAAAGAATGGAAATGTATTTAACTTTTTTTTTGATTTCAATTGGAAAAAAATCATTATTTGTGCTTTTCTCGGTTCTCAATCATTTATGCAAAATAGAAATTCCTCTTGGCATTATCCAAAATATTTTTCCTTCATTAATGGTATGAATGTAATTACGAAATCTAGAATATTTAAAATCATGAAGATTAAAATTATCAAATATTTGCTATCTTCATTGTTTGTCAGGATAAATAAAATTAAATACTTAAAATTACTTAACCAACTTTGGAAGGTTATTGATTTTCAAAATAGCAAACAAAAAATGAATCTATTTATTATTAATTCATAAAAAATCAATAGTTACTTGTAATATCTTTAGATGAAATCTTTTTTTATAGCAAATGAAGAATTCTTAATTTTTCGAAAATTTCTGAAATTGTGCAATGTGTTTGTGTGTGTTTCGCGAAAAATGTTATTCTGAAATATTAAGCATTAGTAAAAGCTTTTTGGCGTGATATGACAGATTGTTTTTTGCTATAGTCGCCTTAAATACACAACTGTCAAAGGGCCTTTGGTATTACATGGATAGATAGGCCAAGAAGAATATATTGCTTCTCAGTTCCCACGAGTCGAGTTGTAACTCACTACAGAGCAAAAAAAGTGTTTTTAATATTAGTCGATATCAAACAATATTTACAACTCATCAAATTTCCTTCTATTACTCAACAATTTTACAAATGACATTGATAAGTGATAATAACTTTTAAAGATGAAATTTGTAATTGAAAATTTAGTTCAAATATTTATTCCGAAAGAGATGGAAGTGGATTAAGTGAAAAAGAAAGTGATTTTAAATCACATTTTAAATCACAGAAAGTGATTTTAAATTACTTATACTTATTATATCGAAATCTTATATGTTTTACTTAAAATTTAAATTTACATCTTTTAATAAAAAATTAATGGTATTAGAAATATCTTTCTCTTCGCCAAATAGGATTTCCGTAATTGTAATGCGTTTCATTTATATATTTTACTTAAAATTTAAATTTACATCTTTTAATAAACAATTCATTCTCTTTTTTAAGACATTTTTTATTCTTCTGTATGGTAGAGCACATTTCATATCTCACAACTTTCTGAAAGACAAAGTATTTCAGATTGAAATTAATAGTCATTTGTACATAAGTTCTTATATCACGAATTTATTAGATGAAAAAAAAAAACCACAATTAAATTTATTAAAAATTGATATCAAAAAGCATTAGGGAAAAAGGATATTTTAAGCCTGGATAAAGTGATACATCTATTCTGTATATTTTAGTATATTAAAAAATAAGCAAACAAAATTGATTTCAGTAAATTTTACATGAATAAAATAAAAATTCAATGCAATGTGATTTAATTATTTCAATTTTAAATAGGAATTTTCATATTACATTTTATAATTTCATGCAAAAAAAAGGAATCATATAAAATTTACCAAAAAAAATTGACCAATTTTAGGTAAATTGTTAACGAAATGTCTTAAAACACCTTGGTACCTCACTAAATGTGGATGTCGACGATTATTCCGCTATTGTACTAACCAGACAATGACTGAAATTCGAGAGCTCGATGCTTCAGATAAACGAGGTCTGTCATTAGTTTATTCAATGATTCCTTCAGCTTTCTTTTTTTATTCATTTGATAAAAATTTAATTAAAAAATAATTATGTTATTTAGAAAAAATGTAAATTTTTCACGTAGAATTAATAAAAATACATGTCAAAACTTTTACTTCTTGTGAAGAAACATCGAAATAATGCCTGAATGATTCATTTATATATTATTGATATTTACAAAATATGATTATTAGTTATTTGTTTTATCAAAGTTTATGCTTTTATAAATTTACACCGCCATTTTTTTTATCTCAATTGACTTAATGCTATTTCCAATTGATATTTTGGTTATGAAACAGTCTTTTCCAAGATGGTGCCAATACATCAGCACGTCATTTTGCTCTGTAAATACCAATGATTTATCACATTTTTCTTTTTCCTATTTCACATTCTCAACTAAAAATTTTAAATCTCAAAAGACTTCACCTCATGGCCAATATGAGTTAAAAGGAAAGCTTACAGCTAAGAGGTATATTAGCATGTGTTAAAAACGTCTCTTTTAGCTAACAGAACTTCTCAAATGATTCAATAAATCAATGTTTTTCTTCAAGAAAATATATGTATATATGTATTCAAATATGAACTTTATGGTGCTTTTTTTCTTTTTTTTTCTAGAATTAGAAGTAATTTCTTTTTGAAAAATTTTTTTCCATTTTTTTCGCATTCAATTTTTCCCCATTTTTTTCCTTTTTTCCAATTCAGGGACAGAATTAATTGAAATTGTACTGAATATTGAGTGTCAAAAAATAAAATGTCGCATAGTTTCCAAGTCAGCTGGCTGTTCTCAGATCAGTAAATTTTAAAAATGAGATTCTTTCAATTGTGATACGGTAATTGAATAACAGAAAATTTACTTGAATCAAAGTCATGAATAACTTATCAGAAATCTCAATATTTACTCTTGTTGATAACTGATGCGATCGGTAATTCATGCTAGGAAGATATAAACTTTAAAAAAAGGCTTGAAAAATATAAAATTGATAAATCTGTTCTCGGCTCTGCAACCAAATGTATGGATATTTATAGATGTTCAATTTAATTTGGACAGGTCATTATCCTATTGATTATCCTCCTAATTATTTTAATTTATTGTGGTCTTTTTAAATTTTTTTTCATTTTTTTATTCGTTTAATTAATTTTTTCACTATTAAGTTGTTTAAATGTATTTTTGAGTAATAAATATGGGATTTTAGATGTCATTGATGATAAAATACAATTTTATTAAAACCTTTTGAATATCATAGAGTATAATTATGATGCATTTATGTTTGGATGGGATTGATCTCCTTAGTTTTGATTGTATTTATTAATATAGAAATTTTGTCATATGTTAACTTGCTTTTTTGTATATTTTATATGTATCTTTTTTTGTAAATTAAGATGTTATTTTAGAGGACATTAGTGGTTAATATTATTGTTGTAATTAATATTAATCAATTAATGTCGTACAAAAAGCATGTTTAGACAAGGATTTTGAGTGTTTTTTATTTAACCAATTAACTTATCCTATTCTTCTATAACTAACTTCATTAAGATTACAAAAAGAAAGAATAGAAATAATCGAAAGAAATTTTGAAATGATTAAAAATTTTTAGAATTTCAAAATAAACAGCTTATCCTTTAGACCTCGAAATCTTTGATTTACCAATTCCGATAGCAATATCTGTTGTTATTGCATGGATATTTATTTGCTCCGCTACATTTTGTGTTTGGGAAAAAGACTGGAATTATTTTGTTGCCTTCTATTTCTTCTTCATATCTTTAAGGTATATACTATTACGTCATTTTATTCATTCAACATTTATTAATCAATTAATTATTTAAAAAAAATATGCATTTACAAAAGAAGCATTTGTATCGTTCTATAAATAAAATCATACTGCTTACTGTCAGCCTTTAACTTCAACAATACTCGAAATGTACGGTATTTTTGTCGAATATGATCTAAAAAAGGCTTTCAAACTAATCTATGAAAGCATTTTTGCTTTTTTCCTGACTGGGAAATGCCGAAAGATACATTGCGCTATCCAATGTCGGATTAATAAAAAATCAAGGTCAAAAATTCATAACGAATGCATTCAAATATTTCCATGGATTAAGCAAGAATTAATGGACAGAAATTACAATAATATTCCACTGTAACATTTTATATATAACAACAATGAGTCATTATTAATATTATTTACTATTCATTATTCAGTACACAAATGATGTAATGGCTAAAAAATTAAAGTAAATTATGAATTGCGCTTTCAATCTATAACAAGTGACAAATAAATCATTTACCAATTAATATTTTGTAGTTTTTTCTCAATTTTAAATTCACAAAAACAATAATATATTCTGAAAACCATACCAAACAAGGAATATCTCAATCGTATCCAACCAGACTTATTCCGAACTGTACATCATTGGAATATCCGATCATTAAAGAATGTATTTATTTCTGTCTTCATTTAATTATCATTCTTTTTTGAAAGAGTTTTTAATTGTAGCACAATTGGCCTCGGAAATATCACTCCCACGCAGCCAAAATATTTGCTCATGCTATTCATTTATATTATTATTGGTCTTTCATTAGTCTCCATGTGTATTAATTTAATACAAGCAAGTATATTTTCACTTATAGCAACGTTATAAATCCCTCACTGAAATTTACCAATTAATTTCAAATATTTTTGGAAATTATAATTAAAATTCCAACTTGATTTAGGAATGATGTATGTTTGAATTCAATGAACTGCGCTCTCAATCTATAACAAACAAACCATACATTTCATTTACCAATTAATATTTTTTAGTTTTTTCTCAATTTTCAGTACTGTTGCTAATTTTTTCTAATTTTCTTATGAGAAATTAAGTTTTGATTTGTTTTAGAAAGTTGAATTTTCAGTCAGAAATGGCACGAACATACGAAGTTGGGCAATTGGATAATGTAAGCCTAAATTCAGCTGATCTTTCCTTCGGAAATATGGGTCGAAAGTGAGCAAAATATTTTATTTGAATATTTCAAACTTGCAATAACTTCTGTTTTGCTTTTGAGCTGGTTTTTTACTAATTGTCATCTCCATGCCTTTTTTGAAAACTTAATTATGTTTCAAAAATTGCACAACCAAATCATCTTAAAGGAATTGCAGAATTTGCAATAAGAATCATTCCAAATCCGACAATAAAAATAATACTATTAATAGCAGTACGTCGTTGTCTGGTGATTCCCTTCCGCGTGTTTTACTTAATAAGGAAAATTTTAATACGAGCCCTTATGGGAATTCAAATGCCTACAGGCATGCTTATAATGTAGGAGTAAGCCTTTTTACATCTGATTGAAAGAATTTCAATTGTAACTTGAAAACCTTACCAATTAACGATACATTCATTTTTTACTCCATTTAGCAAGAAATGACATTTTAATATTGAATTTTTGCTTTTTTCTATTTTTGATTTCGTTGGAATTTTTTTTTGCAGATTAAATTCTTGCCAAGGAATTTATCGGTTGATGATGTGATGAAATTGGTGGATACCGAAGAAGGAGATATTTTGGTACTGACTGAGCTTATTCGCGATGATAGTAGTGTTCCGGACACAGTGATGATGGTAATCAGGTATGTGGAACTAGTGAAAGAAAGTACCATAGGATGATCTTGTTGTGATAATGAAATCTCCACCAGATAATATGTTATCATCGAATTAACGGATTGAATGAATAAGTGGAATGATAAGATGGATTACTTCTCTCATTTACATACCGTATCCCCAATCAATATTAAGGTACATTCTTATTACATTTTTAAATTTATTTTCAGTTTGTTAATTCAAGATTATTCGGTAATTACTCTAAAATATCCTCATTATTGCCAAATGCACCTTCAACTTCTCTCATTCGGGTAAGCATAAGCTTAACACATTAATGTTAGCCTATTTCGGATAGCTTTTATTTTCTTATTTCAGCAAAAGAATAACAGTAGTAAGTATTTAATTGAACTTAATGCAGTTAATATTTCTTGCTAGTAATTTCCAAAAAAACAATCCATATGAGAAATTGACCTCGACCGGACTTGTAAATAAAAAAATAGAATTTTAATTAGCTTGTCATAATTAAAAACTATCACATCGAATACAGAGTACATTTTCGACTTATATGAATCAAAATGGAATTAACATAACGCCATCAATGTATGATATTGAAACAACTGAAGAGATGGAAGATCGAATTCTTTTGGGAAGGGCTGTTAATATATTCAATTCACCTGCTATTCATTTTAAATCCAGGTAAACTTCTAACAAGTTTGTATAGAATTTCGCGTATTATGAACATCATAATTAGATAGCATTTTATGGGAAACCATTAAATTACCATTAATTTCAAAATATACGAGAAGAAAAACTTTCAAATTAAGGTTGAGTTTGGTATCTGAAGGGCATGATGCAGTTGATGAAGGTGATGAGGAAGAATATGAGGACGAAGGTGAAGACGACGAGAATGATGACGATGACACTCGCCCTCTGGAAGCCAAACTTGTTGAAGAAAGTCAAGCTTCTATGGAACGAATTAGGTTTCCGCTAAATTTGTGAAAGAATAAAAGGGCATAAAGGGTACGAATTCCTGCATGTATTTTAGAAAATCAGAACTTTTTGCAAACGCAAAATATTTCAATTTTTCGTTTTGAGTGTTTAAAAAAATGGGAAATTTAAAAAGAGTAAATACAGTGAAAAAAATGAATATTTAATCCGTTTCTTGTACCGTTATCCTAGGTATATATCTGAAGTCCGGAATCGAATCTGGAATTGAATACATCTAAAATGCATTTTAATTCCTTAATCATACAATCTTTTAAGAAATTAATTCGCAGGAATCTGCCAGGTGGTCGAGGTATGACAACATTAATTAGATCTTTAATTAATGGGCATGGAACGAGAAAACGCCAATGCAACGTCGACGTAAGGATCAGCTGATGAGTGAACGAGCATACTATCAGGATTAAATATTGGAATACTTCGACATGGTCATAGCTTAAACGCTGTAATTGTAACTATTAGCATGTACGAACCAAGAGTAGCTAAGCTCGGCATGCCAATCATTGTCTGAACGATCTCAACTAACTTGATCAAGCTGAACTATTTTTGGCTCGCTGATGTTGCATGTGTTTGATAGGTACAGTTTTGAAGTTGTTAACTACTCTCAACAACATTAGTATTTGAAAATAATTTAAATTGAATCTTCAAAACGTGCAAATTTTGTGCAAAGTATACATCTCGCTTAGTGCATTATGACATCTTGAAACAAATGTACAATGAATTCTTTCAGTGCCAAGAAATTTTACCTGAATTTCCGAAAAACTTCTTATTTAGACTCTTGCTAAGAAAAGTATTCATTTCAACCCTTTAATTACTTTAATGCATTATAAACTCTGCGAATAACATGTTCTCGCACTCAAAGAAGTGAAACGAAGAGTACTGCAGACAGGAAATTAAATTCAATATTTATCAAGTCATGTACAAATAAAGCTGTATTCAGATCCTAGGAATTTTCTTCGGTCTTGGGCCAAGCTCAGGAAGCGCTGATTGTTCGGTTATAGATACAATTTTGACACCAGTAGTAGCCATACCTTGTATAGAAGTCATTCGCCCTGGCCCAAGTCCTCGAATCTGGAAAAAAATTGTTTTCATTTAATTAGTGGATAGTTCATAACCACGCAAATGGGGAGCCTCATATAAATCAGTATGAAAATTCTCAATCCTCGAAAGAATACTAAAACAGTTTGAGAAGACAGTAGCTTTAATTATTAAAAAAGATGAAACGAACCAGCACGCGAACTGTTCGAATTCCTCGCCTAATAAGCCGTTGTCCAGCTGCAACACCCGTCGTTTGACCAGCAATATTAGTCTTTTTCCGCGCATTTTTGAATCCTTCCAAACGACAAGAAGTGTAGGTTATAATATTATACTATAATTATAGCTATAGATAAAATCTGATTTTCAGAAGTAATAGGAATAAAGATAATTTAAAATTAGACGTCCTTAAAATTAAGTGGAATCTGTATCAAGGAAAAATTAAGCAGCATTTAAGCCAAATTTGATATTTTTAAAATAAATTCAATTCACTATGTTTAGTCAACTGAACATGACTAGAGACATAGTTAATTTAATAGAACAACTAAATTGAGAGCCAATAGAAGTGATGCGACTCATTAACCTATGACAAAATTTAGCAAACATAAGTAATGAAGTTTGAATGGTAAAACTACGATAGCAATGCTTTTACCTTGTGATCAGTGACAGTAATCAGCGTATTATTCCTTGATGCTTTTACATGAACAATCGGGAGCTCTTCAAAAGGTATACCATCAAACTGTTGCTTAAATATTTCCACTGTTGGTAAGCGATCATAAAAATTTGATAAATTGATTGGAACCCATCCTGAACCACCAACAGTACCTTCCGCTAAAGGTCTTTGCATTTCTTTTTTGTCAACACCTACAAAATTTTTGAAATAAGAACTTTTCTTGAAACAAAAAAGGAAAGACATCTGAGCAAACAATAAAAGAAAATGTAACAAGTTGAAAAGAATAGATGAACACGATGAAAAAAGTAAATTTTAAAAGAATGCATCTTGTCCCCGACTATTTTATATACTTTGCTGTTCTTCACTAGAATCATTGAGTGACAATAAATTATCTTTCTTACGATTATGAAAAGAAATACAGTTAACGATTATGACAATAAAAAAGAAATATCATTTTCAAGAAGGAATTCTAAAATATGTACATACTCACCAACACGAGACACTTCTTTGATGCTCTTGGAATGTTTCGAAGAGAGACTCAGAAAACAACTGATATGACTGTAACTTGGCTGGACTGCTTGTAGCAACCGTTCCAATACCCAACTAACCTTTCTAGCCATCTGGAAATTCCATCAATAAAAATTACAATCACCATAATTTGAAGTGCACAAAAGAATGAGCACAGAAAATATGACGATAACTCCTTCAGCAATTGATATTATACTATTTGCTTCATTATATGCCTTCAATAAAGAATTTTTTGAATTAAAGATTGTATCAAACTTTAAGGAATTTAATGACACTATCAAAATATGCTATTGATTAAAATGCTAAACAACAGAGAATTAAATGGCACATAAAGCAGTTTTCATCCAAAGAGAGCAAACTTTAATGCTGCGTCAAACTGTCACAGGCCACTCTAACGGTCTGTTAAATCTAACGTCGAAATGTCGAATAATTGTAAGTGGCTTATGACGGGTGCTATGGTTATCACCGGGAATTGTGGTTGATTTTTTCTTTCAATCAATAAATTTCAGAGTCGATAAGATAACTTACGATATGGCATCGTCAACATCACTGGAATCAACCACTGTCGTGACCGATCCAGTAGGTTCTTACTCATCAGTACTATGTTTTAGTTTAAACAAAAAAAAAAAAATTCCATTTATACTCGAATTATTGAATCACCTTAATAGATGATGATTTACCTATGAAGTCTAAGTTGGCTGAAAAAGTTGCAGGTGATACCATACACGGAAATGATTGCGAATGGATTGTGTCCTGGTCAAAGTATCATTATTAAGGGAGCCGTCCTGCATGACCTGCATCAGAAACGTTTTGTTGTAGAATTTTGTTGCGGTTTACTCATTCAAGGTGATCATCGAGATGACAAAGCATTACATTTCAATCCTCGATTCGATACTGGTAGCTCATGGTAAGTTATAACAGTTTGTACAATTACTCCAAAATGCGATGTCGTTCAGTTATTACTAAGTAGAGTGTGATGAGTGAGATCGGTAAGAACAGAAAAGAGATTATTATATCAGATTGCTTTTTTTAACCCGTAGTCACTATTAGAATGTTAATATGCTATCAAAAATTTTGAAAAATTTTCTCTGGTACGAGGAATTGCAATGAGTTGTGATGCATTGATCGAAAAAGAAGGAAAAAATAATGTTAAAAAACAAGGATGAATATGTAATGAAAATTATGCAGGTTTGGTCTTTCACCTGATCGACAAATTGTATTAAATTCGCTAATTGGTAACCGATGGGGTATGGAGGAGCGCTACGCAAATGTTTTCAAAGAAGGAAATGAATTTTCAATGCGCATCTTGGTGCTTGCTAATTATTTTAGTGTATGTTGACTTGCATCTTAATTTGCCATTGTTTAGCAAAAATCGTCCAATTTAATACTAAACTTATATACAGTTTGAGTTTTTTAATGTTTATTCTGGTTTTTAAATTCGAAACTTTTAAAATGAATTTTGATGATTCAGGCTTGAGATCAGCTTGAGATCAACTAAACCAAAATTCGTGCTGTTGAAATAGTTTATGCTATTAAATTTAGATTGCTGTGAATGGTCGTTATTTATGTGACTATTTACATCGGATACCGATTACTGACATTAGGACAATTTTTATAGAAGGCAATGTCCGAATCAGCACAATTGAATATCATGGCATCGATGTACCTTATTCTATCTAATTTTAATTTTTTTTGTTCTTTATCTTTGGACCAAGCTTAAACAGGTTTAGTCTTTACATGTATTGTAGCTTACTCGCATTTATTTATTTTCCATTTTCATATTTTATAATTCATTGCCCTTTTCATTTACAACAATAGCAAATTTCAAAAGCCTAGTCACGAAATTTATGCACTCTTATATAAAAACAACACAAACCCATATTTTATAATTATTTTTTTCTTATCAGCTTATTTTTTACAAAAATATGTTTGTATATGTTTTATTTCTTTCCGATTTGTTCTTTTAAATTTTTTGAAATTTCGTCAAGAATATTTTGATTTTTCTTACGCATTTTGTTGTGTTATTTTCAATCAGTTTTTGGTTTTGCAGAATACTACAACTCCCAAACAAATGGAATTCACTGACAAAATTGACAAGCTTTCCATCAACGATATTATCCGCAAGCCTGTTAGTATATAATTAGCTATATCAATAGTCCTGCGGTGCTGAACGTTACCCATGTTTGTAAATAATGTATCTTACATTTTTTGGGCTGAATTTGAGGTTTAGAGCTTTTTGGTCTCTTCATTTTTTCATTTCTGAGCTAGTCTTTTTTTAAAATTATCTGTAGGATTAATTTTTCTTTTTTTTAAAAATTATACCGTAAGATTAGTTTTTCTCTGTAACAAATTTCAGAAAGTTCCTTTAAAAATGAGTTTGCAAACACGATTGTCGTACGGCGCAAAAGTATTGTTTACTGGTACCCCACTAATGAATGCAGAGTGTTTCACCATTAACTTTTTGACAGCGATGGAATACTTTTTCCATTTCCGAGTAGATTTTGCAGTGGGAAATGAAAAGGTTTGTTTGAGCACATTTCTGCTTATTATGAAAGTCGCTGAAAATAATATCCTACTTACTAGATTTGTTTGGAAATTACTTTACATTTTCGTTATTCTTTCCACTGCTTAAATACGTCGAATGGTCTCATAAACTATCGTGTTGCGGAAATTATGAGTTCTAATTATGTTAGGGTTTCATTTATGTCTACAGTTAAAGAAGTCTCAAAAGTAATTTCATATATTTAGTCTTTATGATTTTATTCAGAATTTTAACTTCCAGAGTTCTGTCTTTTTTTAAACAGGAAGCAGTGGTGCGAAATAGTACAGAGTTTGG